CACTTTCGGGACAGCGTCGTCTGAGGATGCACAACCTCGCCCTCTCCACCTCCGCCAACGCCTCGGACATCTTCCGTCTGGCCGACCTCGACACCTACATGAACTGGCTCAGCAAGACCTGTCTACAGGCCACTTTAACACGAAACACCGCCCAGATAGTGGCTGATGTTACCGCCAAGGTGGCTCACACCCTGACCGGTTATCGTCGCCTCTGCACCGGCGGTGCTCAGGGTGCCAACCCCGGCGAACTGGTATTGCCGGAAACCATCAAACTACTGCCCCTCTACGCCCAATGCCTCTTCAAGTTGGACGCCATTCGGCCGGGTAATTGACACGCACTCCTTCTTCCTTTCATTCATTAATGTGGTAGGAGGTTGCGCATTTGATACACACAGCATTCAAGCCCCCTCTCTCTCCTCTAACTTACACATTTTTCTACGCTATAAGGAATTCCTTAAAAATTGCTCAATGGACCATAGATTTTGACCATTTTTAATGCTCTAGACATGAATATTTTGCGGTCTTAATCAACCTCGTAATTAAATCTCGTTTTAAACTGAATAATTGCCTCTATTTAAGCAGAAGATATAAGACATTATTTGCTGCTAAAGGAGTACAAGAAATCACTGTAGGACTGTATTTAGAGGTTCTAGTTGCCTTTGACTTTTAACAGTAGCATAATTTTACATTTCCACTAACCCGAATTTTCATTCTTTTCGTTAAATTCCGTCAATATAAAGTTGAATTTCCACCAATAGGTATCTATTACCTGAGCAACAGTAGTTTATGTTGATGGAATTGATTCTATTTAGTACGTTGAAACAAATATAAGTTCCTTTAATTTAATATTTTTGATCGCTTCCGATACAATTACATATTCCTTTGCACTCGCTAAGCAAGAATTAAGTCTTTAACCACAAATTACCCAATTACAAGACAGTCTTGCCGCAATAACATTTTAGTGCCCGTTTTCTATAAAATATATTTTTGGAATCGAAAATAAATGGAAAAATGTATACCACTTCACTAGTAATTGTCCACGGAGTGCATTTTGTGCAGTTAGCCGAAAAGAATCTCGTTTAAAAACCGGCCTAATGGCATGATTGAAATCCCTCGCGATTGGGCCGCATGGTAATAACATCTCAAGCCTACTTTCGCACTCTTGCAGAATTTAAAACACCTATCAGCCTTTCGCTTAATACTTCACGAGACAGCGCATCTATTGTAAATTCAAAAGTTCTGTTAGAGCCCCAGATCCCTCCCTTAGCATATTTTATCCTGGTTTCCTCTGTGAATCGCATTTTCTACTTTTGCTCATTCATATTATCTATCATCATCATGGTCTCATTTTTGCGTTTTTTGTCTAGCTCGCAACTCCACCATTGACGATCGGTGCTATATGATGTATCTACTCAACGGTATGGGAGTGGAGCAATCCAATAAACTAATTTACCCTACCATAATACCTCTGGTCAGTCTCTCTGTCTGTCTAATCTGCTCGTCCTTTACGTATTACAGCTACTTGATTGTGTGATTCTTGCAGTCCCAGCACCCCCTCGATGACTCCAGTGTCACCTTTTGTTGACAGCACTTCACTGAGAGAGAGAGAGCTAGAGAGAGATACGCTTTATTTTAAAATTATCATTCCAAAATGTTCAACAAAAACGTCCTCTATTCAAAAGAAATAAAATGAGGCACACAAACTCAAAACACCAGGAAATAAAAAAGGTGATCGTCAATTTTCAACGTCGCGGTAAAGTGCCCTTGGACTAGTCGTCAAATATAGGCCGAATTGGGCTGTTTTCAAAGTGGCGTTAGCGTCTTGACCTCGTGCACTCATGACCTCATTGTTGTAGTTCAAATGAACAAAGAGCCCCCACCATCGGCGGGGTAGGCCAACTGACATATCTATAGGCCAATTTACGTGCGAATGGAGGGAGGAAAAATAGCTCAATCTGAAAAACCCTACTTCATTCGTGTGTTTTTGTGATCATTCTATTGAGGGGGGGGGGCAGATGACCATTTGGCAGTACTGAGACTTCAGAAGCAGTGGGAGATGTGT